AGGATAAACCTTAGCTTATAGGAAAGCAAGGTTGTTTACAGGCTGGGGATACCAGTTTCCAACCAAAGCAAAAACTAGACAACTCAGTTTACATTCTGACAGAAAAAATTGAAGCAACTAACAAGGGAATCAGATTTCAACTACATCTGATAGCATCACTGCAGTAGGCTTAAATTGATTCATCCATTGCGAGATCAACGCCTTCACGCATAGCCAGAGGATTATAAATGTTTTGATAATTGTAGTTTGTCTCAGGAAGCTTATACAGTTAACATAGATATCTATAGTGTCATAAATATGATATTGCATAAGGAATAATTGACTTCCTGATGTAGATATTAGATGTTGCCCTATGTTTTACTGTGACCTCCTGATGTAGATATTTCGCAACTTGTACTCGTCATTGTACCCCAACTACGCTATAACTGTACAAAATATGTTGATGCCCACAGCTGACTCTCCTTCAAAGCAAAACCCAACGTACCAACCAGGCTGGGAGTAGCTCCATCAAAAACACATCTATTGCGGTGATTCCACAAGGTCCAAGCTCCTAGGATTACAAGAGAGTTGAACCCCTTCCTTGTTAACCCAGCAGCAGCATTGCTTGAATTTTCCCACCACAAATCAAAAGAAGAATATGTAAGCTGTGGACAGAATTGATGGATCCCAAAGTGTTGGAGCAAAAAGAACCAAAATTGTCAAACGAAGACACAAGACACCAGCAAATGATTAATGGTTTCCTCCTCTTGATTTGCCTGTCAGACAAGTCTACAGCCGCCAGGAATCGGGACTGCTCTGAGAAATTTTACACACAGACAAGTGCTGTGCAACCCAAAAGCATATGCGATTCCCCACCTTCGCCACCATGAACTCAATAGAATCGACACACGGAATTTTAGGCATGAACAGATGCTGTGCAACCCTAGCCATGGCCAGGAACACCTCCCTTGTGAGCTGCTGGATTTTCCATGTAAATATCTTGGAGTGCCTCTTTTCTTGAAGAAGTTATCAAAAAATCAGATTCAACTCCCTGTAGGGGCCAATGCCCCTCCAGTTTTATCAAAAAGAAAATCAGATTCAACCTTTTATTGATCGGATTGCTAATCAGTTACCTGGTTGGAAGGCTGATATTTTGACTAAGGAGGGCAGGCGAATTTTAGTACAGCATGTGCTCACTTCCATGCTGATGCTATGGCTGTTGATATACCTCCTTGGGCTGTTAAAGCAATTGACAATATCAGAAGAGGTTTCTTGTGGAGAGGTAGAAAGGATGTAAAAGGTGGCCATTGCTTGGTGGCTTGGCCCAAAGTTTGTCTCCCTAAAGAGCTTGGAGGTCTTGGCATTTCCAATATCCAAAATGTCTGTTGGGTGCTTAGGATGAGATGGCTGTGGCTACAAAAGAGTGATCCTGGTCGTCCATGGGGAATGTTTCAGCTTCAGATTCATAAAAACGTTAAGGCTTTCTTCTCAATGGCAGTAGTAGCTGAAGATGGAAATGGTGCTCGCACCCTCTTCTGGTCTGATAAGTGGATCCATGGTCAGAGGGTGGCTGATATTGCACCTCAAGTGATAGCTATAGTACCCAAAAGACGTATCAACAGAAGGACAGTTTTTGCACTAACAAAATGGTGGAATTCTCCTAATGTTTTTATTTAGTAATAAAACACTACTAGTCATAGCACATGGGAATCTCACTAGGAGGCATTCAGTAGGGAAAGTTTATAATAAATTTTGAATGCCAAAACACTAGGAGAACCCCACTTCACTAGGAGAAATTGAATATTCTGGTTGTGTTGAGGCCCTCACGAATCACCGTTGGAGTCATTAATGAATATGTGGGTTTGTGGAATGTCATTTCAACAGTAGTCTTGCAGCCGGATGTGGAAGATTCTTTCATCTGGCGTTTCTCTAGTGATGGCATCTATTCGGCAAAATCTGCTTATTGCAGCATTCTTTCAGGGGGAAGTTGCCTTCCATCCTTGGGAGAGGATTTGGAAATCTTGGGCACCTGGAAAGTGCCATTTCTTCATGTGGTTGGTTGCTAGAAACAGATGTTGGACTGCTGATCGACTTGCAAGACGTGGCCTTCAGCATCCTACTACTTGCCTCCATTGTGATGAGGATTAGGAAAACATCAACCACCTGTTGGCTGTTGCTGTCATGCGTGTTTTCTTGAGAATTCTGGTTCTCCCTCCTGCGAAGGGTTGGTCTACGGCACCTCTGTCCACAAATGGAAGATAATTCTTTGGATGACTGGTGGGATAGAATCTCTAGTGGGGCGGTTGATCTTATTCAAAGGGCCTCAATTCCCTTATTATTTTAGGAGCTTGGACTCTGGAAGCATCACAATAGGTGTGTTTTTATGGGGTTTCCCTTAGTGTGACCCGTGCTGTGTTGCTAGCTGTACAGGAATTACATTTTGGGGGTTTGGCCGGAGCACAAGGTGTTAACTTTATTTTGGCCCTTGTGCGGGAGGAAGGTTGACTGGCCTTGTGTATTTTTTGTGGTCGTGTTCAGTCTATTGCTGAAAAGGGTGCGTCTGTTGTTTTTTATATCTAGGTCTTTTTGTTTTTTGGTGTGGGTTTACGTGGTTCTTTTGTAAGGGATCTTTCCCTGTGTTTTGTTCTCTTCTTAATATAATGATACACAGCTCTCCTGCGTGTTTGAGAAAAAAAACAGCCATGTTGATTGATCTGTCAAATATCGGATAGAACAGAAAGAAAAAGAAAAAAAAAGGAAAGGGTGCCAGAAGAGTGGGAGGGATTCTACCCGGGTGACCCGGAATCTCCAAGCTCCTGATGAACACCGTGGATTCAAGGAAGAACAACACCAAGGTGGGATTTTACCTGGGTGTGCCAGAACCACAAACTTAGTTTTTCCGCAACTATGTGGCCTCGCACACATTATATTGCGCTTGTGCAGACTTCAATATTCGCGTAAATCAATGTAAGTGTGGCGAGGCTTCACGTGTGGCAGAATTTTTAGGCAATGCCTGAGCAGAGCCAGGTGTCAGGCACAACCTGCAGTCAATACTCAATACCCTCATCCCTGAGCCTTGTTTCTCTCTCTCTCCACCCATTCCACTCCCATCGCCTTCCTCTTCCATCCCTGAGCCTTGCTTTAGTACAAAGTTTTTGCTGTAACTTTAGATCTATGCTTTTCTGTAATTAAATGAAATAATTCATATCTACAGTTGTATGGTCCAATTGTGATGAAATTTTTATGGTGGACTAATTATTGTATGATTGAACTGTAGTAAAATTTTCTTACTTATTGGATCATGTATAACTTAATTATAGATTTATTTATATTTAACAAGCATAAACATCCTCGGCCTCCGATTTTGGCCCACTTTCATCCCCCTTAGCCCACGTCATCGGCCCACAAGTGAACAAATTTGGAAAATCCATCTTCTGTTGTCCCTCTTCCCTCCTTCTACCTCTGTCATCTTCGACCTCAGGACCACGCTCATTCGTCCCCTGAAACAAGAAACTCCGAATCTCCATTGCCCAATGAGCTTTATCAACTTCTCCACCCCAGGCCATACTTAAAAAACTGCACGACGAGGAAGCGCGTCTTCCGGGCCATACTTTTCAGCACCTCGGACCCTTTTAGGTCGCCGGAGGATCGCCGAAAAAGCTCTCAAGCGACGCGTCGCATATATCGAGGGATGGCCGATCCTTTTCTTGGCTGCAGCCCTTTGCAAGCCAAAAAGTAGTTTTTCACATCTCCCCTCATTTCCCTCTCTCACCATGCGGGGATCATCGGTGAAGCTGTTTTAGCAAACGATTTTTCTAAACAACTCAACTTCACTGAGAAAGCTGCTCGTGAAGCTGAAGTTGAATCAGCTATGTGAAAGGAGGCCTAACCCATATGAGTGCTGGATCGACAATTTGTATATATCAGTCAACAAACATCTCGGCAAGACAAATAAAAAAAAGAAGCCTTATTAAAAAAAAGGAAAAAGTCTACTTGACCCCCCCACCTATCATACTTGGTCTACTTCACCCCCTCAACTATGAAACGGCGGGTTTGCTACAGTACCGTTACTTTTTGAATTTTCTTTTTTTTATTTATTTTCGGTGAATTTTTAAAAAATCATAGAAAAATCATAAAATAAAAAATCTAATTTTATTAGACTCCACATGAGTAGATCTACACAGTGAATATATAATACGGTATGCTTTAGTACAAATTTTTTTTGTAGCTTTAGATTAATTGGAAAATCCAATTTTTTCTGTAATTAATTGGAATAATTCATAACTGCAGCTTCAATGGTCCAATTATGGTGAAATTTTTATGGTACGCTAATTATTGTATGCTTGAACTATAGTAAAAAATTCGTACTCATTGGACTATGTATAACTTAGTTATAGATAAATTCTAATTAATTACAGACAAAGTTGGATTTTCTAATTAATCTAAAGCTAAAAAAAAAATTTGTACTAAAGCATACCGTATTATATATTCACTGTGTAGATCTACTCATGTGGAGTCCAATAAAATTAGATTTTTCATTTTATGATTTTTCTATGATTTATCAAAAATTCACCGAAAATAAATAAAAAAAAGGAAATTCAAAAAGCAAAGGCACTGTAGCAACCCGACGTTACTGTAGCAACCCCCGCCGTTACTGTAGCAAAACCACCGCTGAAAACCGCCCAGGGGGTAAAATAGACGGTTTTGGAAAGTTCAGGGGGTAAAACAGACGGTTTCATAGTTGAGGGGGTGAAGTAGACCAAGTATGATAGGTGGGGGGTCCAGTAGACTTTTTCCTTAAAAAAAAAAGGGGGGGTGTCATAGGCATGGATTAGTGGGCCAGGGTGATGGCCGTAGAAAAAAGGAAGGCCGACAGCCCATCATCGCCAAATAAGACGACGGAGGAGAAGATCTCACTCAGCAGGCCCCGTGGGAGATAGAGACAGAGATTGATTGGGGCCGCATCCCCACTTGCAAACCCTATATCGGCTTGTTCTAGCTCCGTGGAGGCGGCGGCGGCTATGGCGGTGGAGGCGGCGGTGGCGTGGTATGAAGAGTTGCGAGAGGTCGAGCGCCTCGAGCAGTCCATGCATAAGCAGATAGGGTCCATCTCCAAGAAGTTGATGATGGTCAAGGATTTGTCAGAGGCGGAGGTGGCCAAGCTCAAGGAAGAGCGCACGTTCGTGCAAAAGGAGATTCTGCGGCTCGACCTTGAGATGCCGCCGAGGCCGGATTTCTCAGGCATGACCGAGGCCGAGCGAGCGGCGACGGCGGAGAGGCTGAGGAGAGACGAGCTGACCTGTGCGCTCCGCCTTACGCAAGAGCGCGACCCCAGGGGTCGGGCGATGGAGGCCTTTGCTCGCATCGTCGACTTCGATCCCAAGCAGGGGGGCCGCTACTACAACCGGTACACCCTCGTCGACCTCACCAAATTCGACCTCGATGAAGAGTGTAAGTCGCTTGCCCGCGGCCCTTCCCTTTCTTTCAATTCCATCCTTTTGCATGTTCCGCCACCCATCCGTTGCAGTTCAATCCTAGCTCCACCTGCAGTCCATCTATGACAAATTGATTAATTCTGCAACGATTCTAGGGTTTCTGGCTAGAATCTGAAACGTTTTTGGCTGCCAAACGGTCCCTAGATGACTTATGGAATATGTAACTTGTGCTATCTGACATGTATTTATTATAATTTATTTATATGTAACAATGTGCTGATTTGATTTGATTCCACATGCTAGAATTTGTTCCTTTTTTCCTCTTTTTTTTTTTGCCCTATGTGTTTGGGTTTTGGATCAATTGGAGCTAAATTTTCACTCCTGTATGGTTTTCACTTCTGTATATATGGCTGCTGGCTCTGGCTGTGCGGATTGAGCTCCCTCCCTCCCTCCGCATTAATTTGTACCAATCTTCAATTCAATTCCAATTAAGCATGATGATATAGATGCAACTGATGATCTAGTATCTCATTAATTTCCTTTGTATTTCCACATGCATGACAGCATCCATTGGTCCGATGAGATATATCGACTCCCCCTACAAAAAAGAGAGCGACTTTCTCTGGCTGTGTAGGGCTGTAAACTTCCTGTCCGTCAAGATACGCTGTTTGGATGTTGGCTACCCAATCTGTGTCTATGGCACTATCATTGTCAGGGACAGTGTCGATGTGAGATGTGTTTATCACTTCCGCCGCGACAGTGACAATTGCCAACTCATCAATTCTGAGGTACAACCAACCTTCAGCATCTCCTTTTCTACTAGTTTGTGCATTAGCGCCTTGTTTTTCACTCGTATATATAGAGAAAAGATAAAGACTGATATACTGACCTGACCTGTAACCAATTCCTATTTTGCATGCTGGACAGTGTAACCAGGACTGTAGGCACCATAATGCTTGCTTTCTAATAAAATCCGTACTTTCAGAAAGACACTTATATATGCTTTTTGTTACACTTTTGTCTTTTAGCGCTGTTTTTTTTTGTAGAAAAAAAAGAGAGAGACACACAAATAGTGATCCTGTATTTACATGTTATAGATCAACTGTTGCATCTATTGCTTCGGATCCCACACCATTGACATTTTCATCAGCTAGCTAGCTATATACGTACCCAACAGCATAATTACATATATACTGTGGCTGTAATTTTTTTTTCAGCACTATTTATTTGTAGACATAATTAATGTATCGCTGACGTATATCCTGTAAATAAACCTTGCCGTAGGCTGAATCATTGATCTTGACGGGGCCGAAACGTGGCCTCGCATTGACTGGAGATATCTATGTGGAGACTGATCTGAAGGTGAAGGATGATCTAGTACAGGACAGAGAACTTAGTAAAGGACTCATAAGCATCAGGAGCGCATCAACTGGTCCATCGGTGACGGGATACACGTTGCAGACCAAATCTCTTGCTACCAGGCTCAGTACTGTGGATGTGACTTATACAGTCGTGGATCGTGCACTGGAGGGAACTATTGCAGTTGAAGTTCTGCAGGGAGGTTTTCATGGCAAAATCACTGCCTACACTGCCAACATGCAGTACAAGCTTGTGCTTTATGATAGCAAAGAGGCTGATGCGATGACTGTTGACGATTGTGGAGTTCTCGAGCTTATGCGACCTGTTGTATCTGTCTATGTGAAGGATTTGCTGATGATTGCTGCCCAGACCAGTGATGGTAAATCTGAGCGCATAGTATTCACTCCAAGGATCAACGCCAGAGATGAACGCCCACTTGCTGTTGGTGCAACCAAGTTGCGGGTGAAGCTTTCTTGGTCAGTAATGAACCCCTGACTGATTTGGGTAATACTCCATTGTTATTATAGCTATATGTCTGTCTCAGTGACGCGGTCGTCACCCTAAGTTACTCTAACTTAGTTGGACCTGATAAGTAATTAGTGTGTCGGACCTGATAAGTAATAGTAGTGTGTGTGACTTCTGTATTGTGCCTGGCTTTCTATATTTGGACGCACTTGTATCGCGCTGGGCTGGGCTTGTTATGCTGAATCATCAGTTATCTAAAATGTGTTGCGCTTTATGCTGAGCCACTCTAAGGTATATATATATTCAACTTTTCTGAATGAAAATGCGAGATTGTGCCAAATTCTTTTCTATTGGGACCAAGAATTTATTTTCCCCCGAGCTAGCCAGCTAGCCAGGCATGACTCCTTTTGAGACAGGTTGGTAGGTTGTGGCTCATGCATGTATTATGTTCGTTTCAACGAACTAGACAAATGTCTTCAAAGGTCGCATCACGACTAAGGGGTAGTTTGTTCCGCCTCTTAAACCGCTGTCTCATCGGATGTTTTGATATATGTTTGGAGTATTAAATATAGACTATTTATGAAACTAAATGCACAGATAGAGACTGTTTTACGAGATGAATTTTTTAAGCCTAATTAGTCCATGATTTGGCAATGTGGTGCTACAGTAAAAATGTGCTACTGACGGATTAATTAGGCTTATTAAATTCGTCTCGCGGATTACTAACGGATTCTGTAATTTATTTTTTATTAATATTCGAGCATTCTATGCGATACCACATGTGACATCCCCTAAACTTTAGTCCCTGAATCAAACACCCCCTCTAAGTAATAACGCGAGGTGGGTACACATGCGCGTTGCACCACAAATTTTTTTTTTGGTCATTATCTATGCATAAACCCAATCTTCATGTGGTTAGTCAACTATACTGAAAGCGGTTTTCATGTGGTTTTGCCATTATCTAGGCTAGATAGTTTCGGCTCACCATTAGCGGCTGCCGCATGTCTTCTCAGCCTACGTGTTGGTCGCGCGCTCCATAAGCAGCAAGTGCTACTGCAGATCCTTCGTGTGCATAGAAGTCTCAGCCCCAACACGCCTCTCCATGCCGTCCACAGCCGCAGTCTCCACCGCTACGATTGAAGACCGGTTAGCTGATTTGTTTCTGGGTTAATAAGTTTGATTGGTATTGGTTCGTTGTGAGAGAAAAATATTGTACCATAATAAGCTTCAACTAAAACCAACGAGCGAACAGGCTGAATGCTGAATTGGGGCCAAATCCACCATTGTGGAGAGCATGCTCGATTTGAGGCAATCCCGCTGCCCAGATGACCCCGCCGTCCCCCTCACCCTCCACCTACACGGCAGCGGCACGCCGGAGGCGACGGAGACGCTCCACAACCCCCCTTACATGCCGAGTGTGATTTCATCGTCCATCGGGCAGCGCCAAGGTGGCATCCCGTTCTCTTACAAGAATCTCTGAATCTTACGAGTGCTGGCAGTGTAGGCAGTGAGGATAGCAGAATTAATGGAGATGAACGCCCTCTGGTCGGCTCTGCCTCTGACCGAATGACAGACAAGACAAGCACTACTTGAGTTGGGCCCAAAACTTACAACTCCGCTCTCGGCCCAAAAACCACTTCCTCCACGCAACACAATGCGAGGTATACAGACCCCGCGAGGTATACAGACCCATTTGTGATTTCCAGTCGTCATTTACTGTCGAGAGAATTATCTATTTGGCACTGAAACAAATCAATCTTTTATATTTGGCACTAAAAATTTTAAACTTTCTTATCTGACACCAAGTTGAAATTTTCTTCCGTAAATGGCAGTACCGTCTATTTTTACCGGTAACGATGTTAAGTGGATTGCAAAATGACATAAGTGCACTTATTTGTAGTAGAAGTCCATGGTGCCAAATAGGAAAAGAATAAATGAAAAGTTTGTCGAATAAGAAAATCATAAATATTACAAATATACTTGTAAACTAAAATATGAGATTTTGTGAGTGTGCAAATAAATACTCCCTCCGATTTCCTAAAGGATGTCATTTTGAACAGCGACACGATCTCCAAAAAAACAATTTTGACCATTACTTTTTGATATAAAGTATTTATAAAATATAGTTAATGTATACTTTTATGAAACTACATTTTGAGATGAATCTACTTACATCACTTTCATATTTTCAAATTCAACCCAAAAAAATTTATTTGTAATTAAAGTTTAAAATATTTGACTTAAAACAACCTCAAAACGACATTCTTTAGAAACCGGAGGCAGTAATCGATAAATCTCAAATTTTAAGGTAACAGTACACATTAGTCAGCAGTACATTATAGTTAATGGCTACGGGTGTGCGGCCACCATTAGCTCTGTTCGGTAGTACTTTCTGATCCTCCCCTCTCCGTGTCTAGCTCGACAGCGAGGTTCCTAGGCACCTGGTACATGGGCCTCGCTTCCTAGTTCCCAGACCGTGAGCAGCACTGATGCCGACACGATGCCCATGTACCGGAACGGGTTGCAGTTCAGCCTCGAGCCGGAGATGGAGCCCAACAATAGCGACTTCCGGTTCGAGTTCGTTGCGAGCGACAGCGACGTCTACTACATGTTCTTGATGGGCGGCAAACACGGCGGCGACGGCGTCGTGTCGCGGTTTGTGCTGAACCAGGTGAGCATGCAGCGCTACGTGTGTCCACCGGGTGCTCAATGAGCCGCCGCCACCGGCTGGCGAGGCTGCCGCGCCACCTTCGCCACATCACGTGTTGGCCGGAGGGCCGCGCCGCCTCCGCCATGGCGCGAGCTGGCCGGAGCTCCGGCCTACGAACCCGCCCGCCACCGCGACTGCGCTGCGGCCTGGCTCCGCACGGCGAAGAAGCTCGCGAGATCCTGGGCTTGGCCAAATTGGACGCGTGAGTAACAGAGGGGTATATTGGACATACGGAAACCAAACTGACAAGGTCAAACCAGTTGACTAACAGATGGATGGTGAAAATAGACGGAAGTGCCAGAAGGAAATTTCAACTTGGTGCTAGATAAAAAAGTTCAAAATTTCAAATGCCAAATACGAAAAAATGATTTGTTCCAATGACAAATAGATAATTCTGTCTTATGTGTCCTTCATTGGGACGATCCCCAAGCCTCGGCCTTTGAATAATGAGGATTCGAGTGCATTACAAAGACCAATGGACTGATGTCGCAAAACAACAGCTGGAACACCTATCTTTAAGTCAATCCTGTGCGGAGGAAAGTTGTTGTTTTTTTTTTTTTGGCAAGAGACGAAAGTTGTTAATGCATGGTGATGGATACATCCACAGTAAGCCAAATTAAAGTCTGTCTGATGGTTGTTCTGTTGAGTTTTTTTTTTTTAAAAAAAAGAAGTACCAGTTGGAGAAAGCATAAATTTATTTACGTTTATTTATTTTTTTGAAAAAAGGGTTGGATTAAAGTAAAAGTACTTCTACATCCAGCCCCCAATATGGCACTCCTGAAGAAAAGAAAAATTACATCCAAGTCCTCTAGAGGAGCACCCAGTAGCCTTCGCCGTCGTCGACCATTGTTGCCACAGCTTGGTCCTTCTCCACCTCCCGCAACGAAGAAGAAGATCCAAGATGAAGCTTATGGCCGATTTCCAGATCAACGAAGAATCTTCAAATTTTAAAGAGCCCATGAGTAGCACGTAACTAACGTACTGTTGAGTCATTGAACGCCGTCTCCTCGTCGTCGCCAGAATCTGACGCCAAAAGCCTCACCGGCCAACTCTAGATGACGAACAACAAACCCACATTAGGGGATCACAAAACACCAACCCTTGCACACGAGAAGGTGGACAACTAAACTCACAAGGCTGTTCCTGGCACCGCGCCCAGGGTCGTTTCTCTTCTGTGATGTAACGTATAGTAGTAGACAATAAATGTACAGATACCACCTCCATGTCCAGACAGACACAGAGTAGAGAATAAATGATTCCTTTTTGCGAAATGGAGTTGCCCATATATACTCTACTTTGCGAAATGAGTACTCCATAGTATATATATATAGTGTACTACCTACCTGCACTTACGTGTTGCCTGGTCACCACCCGTCTTCGGACTCCGGCTAATTTCAAAAGAGGCGCATGCAGTGGCAGCTAAATTAACCTGAGCTTCACTTTTAAAGCCGCCGCCAACGTGATGCATAGAAATTTAGTATTTTGGTCGGTTAAAAAAATCTGAAATTTAGTATATCCATAGTGCATAGAAATATGTACTCACAAACAAAAGTTCAGATGCAAACTCAAACTAAAAAAAATCATACGAAAATGACAAATTTAAGATGCATGTGCACTAGAAAACAAAATCCGAGGGATTTTGTCTTTTAGTGGCATGCACCTGAAATTTGCCATTTTTCATATGAATTTTTCAGTAGTGAGTTTGCATCTCAACTTTTCCATGTATTTACATGGATATGCCAAATTTTAGATTTTTCTAAACGGCCAAAATATGTTTTTTTGAATTGGTTTCTAAGTTTCCACCTAAGTAATAGTTTCCACCACATATTTTTCCTAAAAAAAATGGGGGCCATACGGTACATACCAACCACGCGAGTCTTTTTTTTTTTTGGTGTTTGTGATGTATTTCTAGTACTCAAAAACATTTCCAGCATCACAGTAGGTACGATGATAGCCTTCTGTCGACGATGTGTTTGATTCAGTAATTAAGTGGAACCTTTTTTCCCTCTCTGATTCAGTAATTAAGGCTGAACAACCTTTAAACGTAAGGAACCTGCCATGGAGCTCAAATCAAAAGTCTCCTTGCAGCCTCACAGCAAGAAAGGAACTTATTGGACCAGCTGATATACTCAGAGAATTCATCGACACCTTTCCTCATCAGTCGGCATGCACGCCTTCAGGTACATATGCTACTGTGAACCAGGGAACTCATTTCCAGTCTGTTGTGAACACACAGCATCCATGGCCCTTTTTGAAACTAACCTGCTTTGCACAATCAAATCCTTACTTGAACGTGTACTTGATAAGATTTTGGGTATTTCTTTCAACATTTACCATGCATCCTTGATGCAGAATGCATGGACTCTTTAAACGGGCCGGAGCGGGACGCCCTGTCACGTCACTGTCAGCACTACACCAGCTGACACTGATCAGGCACCAAGCTCGGCTTCAGCGGAGCCTGACCAAATTCCGATAACAGAAGAGATGGCGCCGGACGGGCTACAGTCAAGCAGGCCGAAGAGGCCCAGGACCGGTAACCCGCGCTACACCGGGCCAGAATGGATCGCCAAGTAACCCAACACTCGATGGCGTGTGCGCCGCCGCTTCTGAAGACGTGTGTGTGTCTTGCTATATAGGCTAGCACATTCTTGTGGAAGGGGTCATCTATCGTTGTAATGAACAAACCTTTCTATTACAAAGAACTCGTCGTCTGTTCCTACCCAATTGCTGTGCTTCTCCTTCCCCGATCCCGATTCCTCTTGCCTTCCTAATCTCCTGCTAACAAAATTGGTATCAGAGCCTACGAATTCCTCAGCCTACCATCTCTATCCACCCGCAATTTCCCTTCCCACCCACCCGCAATTCTCCTCGTCGCTTCCGTTTTGATCTGGCACCGTAATCCCCAACGGTAGGTTGATCTCTGTTCTTCGCCCTTGCGGTGTCGATCGTGAGGTCCCGTAGGTCCGCGCCGAGGTTGGTGTGATTGACGGATTTGCGACGAGGTGATCCACCCTGGAGCCACACCAAATCGACCACGAACACTTTACCCGATTTCGCAAGCAATTGGGCGCCATGGATCCCAACTTCCAGCTCCTGCTCGATGAGATCAAGTCCGTGAAGACCGCGGTGAACGGTGTCGAGAGCTGTGTCAGCGCCGTGGAGACTTCCCTAGGCAGCCGGATCTTCGCCATGGACCGTTCCATCTCCGATCAGTTTGGGCGCGTGGAGGATGCCGTCCAGGTGTTCGACGATTGGCGGCCTTCCGTGGATGCATCTGTGGAGGAACTCCGATCCGAGGTCAGTACCCCGCGCAAGTAGGAGGGTGCGATCGAGAAGATGCACGAGGAGATGACGACGTTGCGCAAGTCTGTCAGCCAGGTGGTGCTCGAAGCCGCACCGGCCATGCCCGCTGGCATCCTGGCGCAACCGGTTGTGACCGCGGTGACTTCATCCGTTGGACACCCAAATACAGGCCCTGTTGTCGGGCACCGCGTCGAAACACATCACCGGGAGTTTGAGTCTCTAACTCCACTCCTGGTCAAGGGTACGCTCGATTTCAAATCCCACCCTGTCGATGTTTCACCACCGATAGCCTGACACGGGGGGTTCCCGGGGTAGTATTGTTCGGGCTTCAGCGTATGCAGAACTCGACGGTTAACGCAAGAGATAATCGATTTATCCTGGTTCGGGCCCTCGATCATGATCGAGTAATAGCCCTACGTCCAGTCGGCGTTAGCCTTGCGTTGGATTGATCGTAAAGTGTTGTGTTGTTGTACAATTGTTCTTCTGAAAACCCCCGATCTAAGGAGCTCTGCCCCCCTTTATATAGTCAGGAGGCCAGAGTCCTAGTCGGTTTACAATATAGAGTCATAATAGGATTATAGAGTAGTATTACTACTAGGATTACATGGGAGGAATCCTAATTGAACTAGATCTCCTCTCTTCCTTGCGGGGTATCCTGTGGGTCCCGCATCGACAAGCCCCCGAGCACTTCATGGTTGAGCTCTGGAAGCCTCGTCTTGTTCCTTGAGGTCTTGTCGAGTAGGAACAAGCGTCGTCCGAGTGCTTTCTTGAGTGAAACCATGTAGCGCTTCTTGGGATCTCCGAGTGGTGTGTGCTTGTTGAAGAAAAAGTACATCCATCTGGGTGTAGCCCCCGAGCCTCTTGCTATTTGGAACAAGGAGCTAGAGGATCTTGTTTTGAAATTGCTCTGATTCTTCGTTGAAGGGCTCCCGAGCATGTTCCCGGGTTCTTTATCAAAAAGAACTCGGATATGGCTCGGTCCGGGTTCTTTTTGTCGTAAGGTCTTGAAGTGGTCTGTCTTGAAGAAGTCTTTTTGGTGACGTTCGCTTTTTCGAAGAAAAAGCGCACTCACTGAGTGTAGCCCCCGAGCCTCTTGCTATTTGGAACAAAAAGTTGGAGGGTCTTGAATCTTATGTTTTTTGGAAGCTCCTGTTTTGAAGTAGTCGTCTGAGTGACGTGCGTTTTTTTTTGAAAAAAGTGCACTCACTGAGTGTAGCCCCCGAGCCTTGGATTGATTGACTAATCAACTCAAGGATCTTGAATTTTCACTCAAGTCATCATCCGAGTAGTTTTTGCGATGTTCGCCCCCGAGCTTATGCGCCAGGTGAGCCGGAGGAACCACATCGAGTACTTATTGGCACTTAGCCCCCGAGCTTGGAAGCTAGCTGAGCCATTGGAGGTACGCTTAGCGTACTGGAGCGTCGTCGTAGAAGCTTGTTCTGAAAGAAAAGATGCATACATTATATAGCATATTTGTAGAATATTGAAACTACTGAAATTTATTCAGTGATTAATATAAACATTTTGTGTCATGCTCTTATTTCGCCCATATCTCTTCCGAGTAGTTAGCCTGTTACGTTTAGGCTCTCAGTCCCCATTTAGCCGCAGCCACTGTGTGTGTGAGATCTTTGTCTCGTATACGCGTACGGGCACTGCCATTTGCACAACTGAGAGCTTTGTCTCGTGTATGTGTGCTGGCACTTAGGTGTAACAGGTGCACCTAAGGCTTTCACGAATTAAGGCGTGTTCTGCTCGAGAAGATTACTGACTTTAAGGGAAGACAAAAATGAGTAGTCGTCGTTGCGACAAAAAGAGAGCGCGATAGTGCGCAAGAGTTTGCTGCCCTCCGGCGAGTAGAGCGCGTGTTGTGCGCATTGGTCAATCATGCTGAAACAAGCCAGAGAAAAAATATTTTTAAAAAAAAGTGACTTAGCTTGATTCGTGGACGATTGTCGACGTAGCCTTGGCGGTCGTCGATGAAGTTGACTAGTCGGAGTTGATTCCGACTAGTTGTTGATCACGTGGAACCCGCCCTCGGCTAGTTTTCTAGTCGAGACGGGGAGTCGAAGTAGTGGCCGACGAGTCGATGCGGCCGGATGTCGATGTAGTCGAGGTTGACGTCCGTCGGAGTAGTCGATAAGAGTAGTCAAAGTAGACGCCGGTGGGTCGCCGAGGGTCCTCGCGAAGTCAGAGTAGCCCGTCCTCGACTAGCCTTGTAGTCGAAGCGAGTAGTCGAAGTAGACCGTCCTCGACGAGTAGTCGAAGTAGTCCGTCCTCGATTAGTTTTGAAGTTGAGATGAGTAGTCGAAGTAGTCGATGGTGTGTTTGCGGTGCAGTGCATACTCGACCGACGGAATTGTCTTCTGGTAATATCTTCGAGTGCATGTAGCTGGTTAACAGCAAGGCCTTGTTTAGATTGCAAGTTTTTTTCACTCTCTCTCCATCACATCAAATATTTAGATACATGCATGGAGTATTAAATGTAGATAAAAAAAATAACTAATTACACAGTTTGATTGTAAATTACGAGACGAATCTTTTGAGCCTAGTTAGACCATGATTGAACAATAATTGTCAAATACAAACAAAAGTACTATAGTACCGAATACTGATTTCTAACCCCAATCTAAACTGGGCCCAAATTGAATTTGCAGCCGCGCATGGTAAGCGGCCCGATGCCCTGGAGCTTTGCCTCGGCCCGTGCGCAAGATGGCAGCTTTGATTTTTTTTTGACGTGGTCGGGACAGCTTTTCGCGGATGAAAACACCGATTGCTACTTGTCTTCGGAGTCCGATCGCGTCACAATAATTGACTCGGCCTGGTTTAGATTGCAAATTTTTATAATCTGAAAACTGTAGCATGTTTTGTTTGTATTTGACAAACTTTATTTGATCATGGACTAACTAGGCTCAAAAGATTCGTCTCGTGATTTACAACCAAACTATATAATTAGTTATTTTTTTTATCTACATTTAATGCTCCATGCATACGTCTAAAAATTGATGTGATGAAGAGAGAGTGAAAAAACTTAGAATTTTGAGGCAATCTAAGGCCCTGTTTGGTTGGGCTTTTGGCCCCAAAAGCCAAAAGCCCAACTAAATGGGCTGTTTTTGGAGGGTGCTTTTTCAGAAGCAGCTGCTTTTGCGTAGTTCATTTTTGAAAGCTGGGTTGACCCTGCTTTTGGCTTTTAGCTTTCTGCTTTTCGAAATTGGTGGAATAAAAAGCTCTTCCATAGTTGTTTCAAGAGAGATAAAGATAAAAAGTATATTTTATACTTGTTTAACCAAACAGCTTTCAACTTTTCTATAGCTCACAGTCCACAGCAGCTTTTCCACAACTCACAGCTCAACCAGGGCCTAAACAAGGCCTGGAATCCGGCCGTGAGATGCTGCCATGTAAATACGGAGCCGTACTGACGGAGGAACGTGTTGGGCTGCCATTTCTTGCGGACCTGTTGGTGTAGCCAGGCATTGCAGTAATACTCGCGTATATTCTTGGCCTTCGTGCCATAATTTCTTCTCTGTCGCTGGAGTAGCGCGCCTCGCCCCGGCTTCTACTCGGATTCCGAGTACTTCGACAGGATGAGGGATGATGGTGCAATGATGATGGATCCCGAACCAATTAGGACTCGATGCGCGATGATCCACCTTCGACTCTGCTTTGGATTTGACGCACGGCGAATTGCCGAATCAATTGGTAAAATTCAGCAACCACGCGGCGCCAGCGGATTGATTTTGATGATGTGGTCCTTCAAGCTCGCCCGATGATCTGCCTCGCAGATCCATGAACCAAAGGCGAAGGTTGATCCTTTCGAGAAGATCATATTGTCGAGGTCCGTCGAGCTCTCGGATTCAAATTCGCCGAAAGCTCCTACTTGACGCGTCAGCTGTCGATGTTTCACCACCGATAGCCTGCCACGGGGATTCCCGGGGCAGTATTGTTTGGGCTTCAGCGTATGCAGAACTCGACGGTTAACGCAAGAGACAGTCGATTTATTCTGGTTCGGGCCCTCGATCATGATCGAGTAATAGCCCTACGTCCAGTGAGCGTTAGCCTTGCGTTTGATTGATCGTAAAGTGTTGTGTTGTTGTACAATTGTTCTTCTGAAAACCCCCCATCTAAGGAGCTCTGCCTCCCTTTATATAGTCAGGAGGCCAGAGTCCTAATCGGTTTACAATGTAGAGTCCTAATAGGATTACAGAGTAGTATTACTACTAGGATTACATGGGAGGAATCCTAATTGAACTAGGTCTCCTCTCTTCCTTGCGGGGTATCCTGTGGGTCCCGCATCGACACACCCGCTCCCCAAACCCAGTCCCCATTTGCGTCGTTCTCTTTCGAGTCCACAGATTGCTACTGATGATCGTTTATTTGCTGGTGACATCGACGGAGTTCATGATCGACATACACAGTTGGGTCCTCGATACTCCAGTAGCAAGTTGTCGAAGTTCAATTTTCCGGTGTTCTCTGGGTAGAATCCCAAGCTCTGGATCACTGACTGTGAAGACTACTTCGAGCTCTATTATGTGGAGCCACACATGTGGATCAATGCGGCAACTATGAATCTCTCTGGTGCTGCTGCAAGATGGGTGCAGTCTCTAGACCATTTCAGTTGAGAGCAATTTTGTAAGTTGGTGCTAGATCACTTTGGGAAAAGCCAGTATGAAGCTCTGATTCGGCAGCTATTCAGGATTTGTCAGACATCCACAGTCCAGAGTATATTGACAAGTTTTCAGAGTTGGTCGATTAGTTATTGGCTTATGCTCGTAACACAGATCCACTATTCTTCGCTATGCGGTTTTATGGATGAACTTCGTGATGACATCCACAGTGCCATTCATATGTAGGGGCTAAATTCTTTTGATGAAGCTTGTGTGCTGGCATTACTGCAGGAAGAATTGCTGGATTCCTACTCGGCGCAAAGAAGGCTGGCGTCCTGAAACCTTTCAGGACCAACAAGTTTGCAGGCTGATGGCCGTCTAGAAAAGGGCCCATCATCACCAAATAAGACGACG